TTTTTTTTTTTTGTGTGTTTCAATTCTGATTATCAATTATTCTCTTTTCCTGTTGGTACTATCATCATCTATATATTAAGACATATTGAAGCTGAATAGGTCAATTATCAATTGTTTTTTTTCTTCTATTTGAACTATCACCATTTGTTCAATCAAGTGTATTTTATTGCATAGATGGTGACAATTTAGATAGAAACTGTACGATATTCAAACGTACAATGTTAGTGGCACCTAATGTTTGATATATGCGTTAGAGTTTGATTAATTTGAATTCATGTTGGGAAATCTTACATTAGGAGGCAAAATGCTCCCTAATGAACACAACTCCATATTCAAGATGATCTAAATATGTAACTTTTATTAAGAATGAAGTTATCGATTATCAAAAGCTAATCATTGTGCTATAGTTGCAACCAACATCACTATCATATCAATTATAAGATCAACTTCTCGATGAAAACAACAATTTTAGTTGGTGATTTAGCAATTATCACGCTCTCTTACTTGTTAGATAACTCATGAAGAAAAAAAGTCCAAATACAAAATCCATCAATCACAATTAAAATAATACTATAGGAAGTCAAATATAATAAGAATTGCCTAGTGCGGATTACCTTTTTGGTGTGGTTTGTGAGCTCTATTGCATACAAACAAGAATTTTACCTCAAGCACATTCATAGAATAGCAATTGCGGATATCTCTTGTGATAAAAAAAGTTAAATGAAATAAAATAACATTTTTAATATATTCGAATTTTTTTTCTTATAATATATTCGAAATAAAATAACATTTTCAATAACATTTTAAATTTTTTTTCTTATAATGGGGCCGCGTAAATTCTACTTTCTCCATACCCTATTTTTTGATATTTCATTAAATATATAATTATATTTTCAAAACAAAATATATCTATTTATTACATACAAAGTAAAATAAAATAAAATGATGCACATTAATTTTTTTTTATTTGAAATAAATATTAATTACCATTAAATTAATAATACTATAAAAAGTTAAATATAATGACATTTTGGTTGTACAATTAATTTTTTTTTTCCTTAAAAACATATCTTTCTTCTTCTTCATCGGCCCTTTCACCGAACCCTAACTTTCCCCATTTTTTTTCCAAACCCTAAAATTCGAACACTCTACCAAAATCTCACTTCGAAAAATCCATAATTTTCATGCAAAAATTCAGCCTTTAACGCTAGTTTTTCATTATACAGTTTTTGATTTTGGTGAAGAAAAGTATACAGTGTAAGAAGCAGTTGAAGGATTTTTTTACCATGGATTCTCAGCCGAACAATCTCTACGACACGGCGTCTCAGCCGGATACCGGCAACGACGCATACACATTTCTGGAATTCAACACACAAGGGGAAGAGTTTGATTATCCTGAATTTCAAGAGCTTTCACAGCCAATTCGATCTTCTGCGTGGCCAACACCATCTGATTCTCTGGTATCTGAAGTACCTGATCGGCCTCCATCGTCGGAAGCATCGCCGTCGACGAAATCACGAGGTGGAGGTGGGAATAGTAATGTTAGTAGTAGTAGTAATCAGGCGTCGGTGGTGGATGCATTGGCAGCGGGGATGAGTGGGTTGAATTTTGAAGAGACAGGGGATGATGAGGGTTTTGAGTATGGAAAAGGGGATTTTGGGGTTGAGCATGCTTGTAAGTACTGTGGAGTGGCGAATCCTGCTTGTGTAGTTAGGTGCAATGTGCCATCTTGCCGTAAGTGGTTCTGTAATTCCAGAGGGAACACTTCGGGCTCGCATATTGTTAATCACCTGGTATGTAAGAGGAGATATGTGCATTTTAATTTTAGCTTATTTTGATTCTTGTGGATTAGTGACTGGCTCTCTTCGTTGAGCAAAATAGCTTTATTAATATAAATAATTTGTTTCTGATGAGTAGCTTTGTATTAAAAGACAAAAATAAATCATCATCCACAACAACAACATACATATGGGGAGGGTTGAGACCGTTTCGGAAAGACACTCTGGCTAAAATATCACATATCAAAGCAGTTTGAAAAGGAAAATACGGTAGAAAAGAGGACATTTCAAATCATAAGAAAACATTACATAGCATTTAGAAAACAAGGAACAGTAATAACAGCCAAATTGCACAATAACCGAAGCATATGAAACAACATGCAGTAGCAGAAATAAACTACAAGATTAATGCTACTACTACTGGTATGAAAGGAGAAACAGGTAGAATGCATCAAATTACCACCAAGCCTATCCCCTTGGAAAGTGAGACAACATCACTACCTACTAACCTTCTACCTTTATCTGCAACCTTCATATCCTCTTACCTAAGGCCATGCCCTTGGTAAGCTGAAGATGCGTTGGTTTTTCCTTTTGTAGTTTATTTGGATGATGAATTGAGATGATTCCAGTTATAGTGATTGAATGAAGAACAAAATTTTCTGACCGCATTTTGTTACCAAAAGCAGGATTTAAGTCTGAAAACCTCACACCCACTACTCCCTTGGACTTAATAGAGGTATATATAGTTCAAGCAAAAGGCAGTGCTGTGCCTCACTAGCTGCAGAAAGAGTGGGTGCTGCAGAAGAGGTGGATTTCTTGTGGCAGGGGCGTGTTTCAGATAATGTGGTAGTCTCCTTTTGTCCCTGGCCCCTCTCTGTTCTCTCTGGGAACTTGTGTGAGGAAAAAGTATGGACATGGTTAAACATGGAGAAGTATGGAATGGGAAATACTTGTACAGGGTTGCACCAGAAAAGTGAAGTAGGTGAAGCTTATGCAATTATCTTTGACTTAGTGATCATACACGACTAGCCAATTAGTCTTTATTCTGTTTCTTCATGTTAATTGAGATGGATTTTAGTAGTAGGTGATTACTGTTGGAAAGACAATTTTGCCTATTTTCTCAGATCTGTTGTTAGTCTATCTTTAGTAATATGACCCAATGGGATGCCATTTATTCAGAAAATAAAACTAATGCCGTTACCATAAAAATGTTATTAAAAATAGGATAATCACAAGTGGTTGGTCTGAGTTATACAAAAATGATAATAGTAGATTTATATCTAGCTTCATCAATCTTTTAACAGAAGGAGTTTCCTCAGAGTTCAACTCTAGATTTCCTCAGTTTATGATAAGTTTAGTGAACAAACTATGGTTTTCTCTTTTTTTTTTGTAATGTATATTTCCAGCTCTTTTGTGCTGGGGGATCTCTTGGATAAAATAAACTCTTATCCCAATAAAAAGAAGGTTTTGACTTTTGTCTGAATCATGCAATTTTCATCTCCACCATAGTTCCTTATTTATTCATGTGAGAGAAGTTGAAAGGGAAACTCTCTATATGTTCATCAGGGAGAAAAGCCAAAGCATCACCTTTCTTAGTTTATAAGGAAGTGAATTGTCTCTAGATGATCCAAACTGTGGGAATTTCCTGACAAAATACAAAATCTTAAATGCATGTTATATTTTGTTAGTGTCACCATTCTAGACAGTTTGATTGGCCACTTATGCTTAATGGATTTACATTGGAGAGTTATATTCCTCTTGACTTTTCCTACAATTGGGGAGTCTATGATTTTATTTCCAGAAACAAGGGATTTATTGTGTTTTTTTTGGTTGACGTTGTATATACTCAACTTCATCCTATAGGTGCGAGCAAAACACAAGGAGGTGTGTCTTCATAAAGACAGTCCACTTGGAGAAACAATTCTAGAGTGCTACAATTGTGGATGCCGAAATGTCTTTCTTCTTGGCTTCATTTCTGCCAAGACAGAGAGTGTCGTTGTTCTCCTCTGTAGAGAACCTTGTCTAAGTGTTAATGCATTAAAGGATATGAACTGGGACCTGAGTCAGTGGTGCCCACTCATTGATGACAGGTGCTTTTTGCAGTGGCTTGTTAAGGTCCGGATTCTCTTTCTTAGTCTTCCCTTCTGTTCCTTTTGGTTTCTGTTTTCGGTCCTGTATTTGTGATGTGTGGAGTGCTGCAGGTCCCTTCCGAGCAAGAACAGTTGAGAGCGCGCCAGATCAGTGCTCAACAAATCAACAAAGTAGAAGAATTGTGGAAGACAAATCCTGATGCTACCCTGGAAGATCTTGAGAAGCCTGGTGTGGATGATGAGCCTCAGCCTGTTGCCTTGAAGTATGAAGATGCCTATCAGGTTCTCGCTGGGTGATACAATTATATTATCTCCTTTACCTTTTATTTGTATAGAGATGCATTGCAGGAATTATTCTGCTATGTAGTTGTGAGTTGCCCCTGGATTGAGTATTGGCATTTTAACTATGCTTGCCTTGACTCTTTTAATGTAGTATCAAAACATATTTGCACCATTGATCAAGCTTGAAGCTGACTATGATAAGGTATGTCAGGATCTTAAGATTATTTTAGATGCTGGTGCCTGAATGCTTAATCCTATTTTATTTTCTTAGCTTTTTGTTGCATCCTGAAATATCATGTATTTTTATTTAAAGCTACCTGTGTCTTCTCACTTTTGCTTTTGGATAGTGGGTGTGTTACTTCTTAAGTTACCTGATAGTGAGTTTTGCCCGTAGAAGTGCTGAATTTATGAGGACAATTGCATTTACACTTGATTGACTCTTTCTTCTTGGTTCTTAATCTTCGTGACAATTGAACTAAGACATGTCAGTTACTACTCTCTGTGTTTCTCATGAGCAAAGATGTGATACTTTTTAATTTGCTCATCTTGTTCTTTTGCCTTTAAGTAGAGTTTATACTTGTCTTTAGGGTGTGCTTACAAGCTTTGGAATTTTGTTTTCTGCTTGGTAGACGATGAAAGAGTCTCAAAGTAAAGACAATCTTACTATTCGATGGGGATATTGGTCTCAACAAGAAGCGCGTTGCATATTTTGTGTTCCCGAAGGTATTTCCTTGTTACTTTTTTTCTACCGTGATTCTTCTAGATTCTTGGACTGTTATAGTGCTTTTTGTTGTCATTTACTATTTCAATCATGGCATGGAAACCTTTTATTGTCTTTACCTACCTGAACTGAAGATAGTCTGCTGCTTTTTCAGGAAGATAATGAGTTGCGTCTTGTACCTGGTGATGAGCTAAGGCTACGATATTCAGGGGATGCAGCTCATCCAGCTTGGCAATCTGTGGGGCACGTGGTATGGACCTTTTGTCTTGATATCCAAATCTTTTTGAGAGGGAAAATATAGTATGGAGTCTGACTAACCACAAACACCCTTAACAAGTAGAGACAATTTGGTTGGAAAGACAAAGGCTCCCCTGCATCATGAAAAATTTAATTAGTGTGGAAAATATTCTTAAAAGAACTTCTCCCAAGGCCCCTGGCTTCCTTTTTTCTCAATTTTTTTTAAGGATTTCTTTTGCGGTTTGTACTCTTAAGATATTGGTTGTCTATTCATTTTTCAGGTAAAATTAACTGCTCAAGAAGAGGTTGCGCTTGAACTTCGTGCCAGCCAGGTACTTAGATTTTAGATTGCTAGTCTCATTGTTATATTTTCTTCTCTTTTTTTCACCATGTGTTTGTTTGTATTTTGGGTCTTTGCTAAACTATTCCTGTCTCATCAGGGGGTTCCAGTCGATGTGAACCACGGGTTTAGTGTTGACTTTGTTTGGAAAAGTACGAGCTTTGATCGGATGCAGAGTGCAATGAAAACCTTTGCAGTGGATGAGACTAGTGTCAGTGGGTGAGTGAGAATCTTTGGGTTCTACTATAGAACGGTTTAGAACAATTGTGAAGATTTCATGTCCTTAATCGTGTTACTTGCCTAAGATTTATAATTCTATCTAAGATCAGATCAGCTTGTGCCTTCTTTCTCCTTCATTTCATGTTTAGAGTAATGTCTGTTCTTTTTTAAGTTTTGTCACCGTTGGAATATTTATGGTAGTGCATCTTTGCGTTTGTTTCCCATTCTTGGTATCATGAATAAACTTTGAATTAATTTATGCACTACAAGGAATGCCAGTTATTTTTGCTACTATTTTGTAACTCGTATGCATCTCTTTGATGCCAGTGAAAACCTTTTCAAAAAGAGGAATGTCATATTCATAGATTTAACCACCAACTTTATTTGGGTTGACCAGTTTGTAACTTCTATGTTGGAGTATTTAGTTTTGTATTCTTTTTGCCTCTTATGCAGGTATATTTACCATCATCTGTTAGGTCATGAAGTTGAGATGCAGATGGTCCGGAATACACTTCCACGTCGTTTTGGTGCTCCTGGTCTTCCGGAGCTTAATGCATCTCAGGTTGAGTGCTCCATCTGCTAGTTCATCATATTTTTTTTTATCTTTGATATTGACCATGCTCCCAATTATTTTTAGGGATACCTTATTGAACAGGATATTTTTTGACAGTGAGAATTGTTATACTTCTGGTTGTCTTATTTTGACATGTTCATATTGTTAGGTTTTTGCTGTAAAAAGTGTTCTTCAGAAGCCCATCAGTTTAATTCAAGGTCCACCTGGAACTGGAAAAACTGTCACCTCTGCCGCCATTGTGTATCATATGGCGAAACAAGGCCAAGGACAGGTAACTTTGATGTCCTTTTTCCCTATTTTTGTTCTCGATGTTAGTCGCTTGATTTACTGGCTATTTTTAGTTGTTGTTAACTATTTTTTCACCAGGTTTTGGTCTGTGCCCCCAGTAACGTGGCTGTGGACCAATTAGCTGAGAAGATAAGTGCCACCGGTCTGAAGGTGAGCCACCAGCTATTTCTTATCTCCTTCCCATCCCCAATATGAGTGGGAAAAAAGCTCCATGAAGACATCTTGAACTGGCTAAGAAGCTCAATCACTATTTTAGTGGTCAATCCACATTTATGCAAATATCTAGTGGAATCATCTGGCAGAATGTCCTCTTTTATGGGGATGAGCTGAAAAACGAGTTCTTTATATCCCCGGAAGGATTGAGTATGTTAGTAAACTGAAGGTTAAAAATGAATCTCCTATATCCTTCCCAATTGACCTTGTCCCACCCATGCACACAAACTGAAGGAGAAGGAGAAGGAGATAGGAGTCTAGAAGTATTGGAAATATAAGACATATAAGAAATATAATAGAAGTGAATAAAAAATTCCATCATTATCTTTTTCTTTAATTTGTGAGATTTTTGGTCCCTCCTTATTTCATTTTCTTTTCCCCAGGTGGTCAGGCTCTGTGCCAAGTCAAGGGAAGCTGTCAGTTCTCCTGTCGAGCATTTAACCCTTCACTATCAGGTTACTTTTTAATTTTTTATCCTCAAATGTTTATATATCGTTCTCTTTTTAATGTTATCTTTTGAACTTTTGTCTATACAGGTTCGCCATCTTGACACGTCTGAGAAGAGTGAACTTCATAAGTTACAGCAACTGAAAGATGAACAAGGTTGGTGTTGCAGTCTTTGGCCACACACTTGTATAGGGATTTAGCATTTACCTGGGGATATTTTTGGAGTTGTCCTCTGTTTTTTCCTTTCTATTTCTTATTTAATATCCTTTATTAGAGCATTCTAAATGTGTGCACATGATTCAAAGTCATTTGATTTAATGGACTTTCAGGAGAGCTTTCCAGTAGTGATGAGAAGAAATATAAAGCTCTGAAGCGGGCAACAGAGAGGGAAATAGCTCAGAGTGCTGATGTCATTTGTTGCACATGCGTTGGTGCTGGAGATCCTAGATTGGCTAATTTCAGATTCCGCCAGGTTGGTTTGCCTTGTTACACAAAACTAAATTTTTTGTTAACTATTTTAGCTTTTCTGTTTTTTATGTTCTTGTGTACTCATTCATGCTGGTTTTAACATTTCTGTTAAACCTCTTTGTAGGTGCTCATTGATGAATCCACTCAGGCAACTGAGCCTGAATGTCTCATTCCTTTGGTTCTTGGTGCAAAGCAGGTCATTATTGCAATTAATGTATTCATTCATAAAACAATTGTCATACTGAAATGTAGTACGATGTTGGATTCTTACTCAGAGTTTTGTGCTAGGCTGTTCTTGTCGGTGATCATTGCCAGCTTGGACCTGTCATTATGTGCAAGAAAGCGGCTCGTGCTGGGCTGGCTCAATCTCTCTTTGAACGCCTTGTGTTTCTAGGCGTGAAACCAATTAGGTTACAGGTGATTATCTGAGTCTGTTGGACGTGTTAACATGTCCTTCCAGGGTGTTATGGGCTGAAGTGAAATTTTAAGATTCTCTTTTTCCTGTTATTCTCTTGTTTCTCATGTAGTTGCCATATTGATTGAAGGGCTCCTTCGTCATCTATGTTGATTTGAGGAGTCTTCTTTCCCTTTCTTTTGGGTGGTGGTGGTTGGATGAAGATGTTCATGTTATTTTATATTGTGTTTGCCAATCTGCCACTTGCCATCACCCTAATATGCTAGTTTTAAGGTTTTATGTTTTTTCTATGCTTCACCCAGCATTATGTTATTTGGATATCTAGTTTTTCATTATCTAGTAATACTTGTGTGTCTGACCTGTTCTGAGTTTCTTTACCTCTCATTTTAGCTGCTTTTGTTCCCCTCCTGGTTGGCTCTTTCTGTCTTTCTGTTTCCTTGAACTTTTGGTGTTGCTTGCTCACATACTCTTTCAAAGTACTGTTTACCCTTATTTAGCTATTAAATTTTGAAGTGTCAAGACTTATTATTTTTCCATTACTAATGTTGATTCTGTTGTCTATTTTGCTTGCAATTCCAGGTACAATACCGTATGCACCCTGCATTGTCTGAGTTCCCATCAAATAGCTTTTATGAAGGTACACTTCAAAATGGTGTAACCGTCAATGAAAGACTATCATCAGGAATTGATTTTCCTTGGCCTGTGCCCAACCGTCCCATGTTCTTCTATGTTCAGGTACTATCCGATTTGTTTAGCTGATTCATCTTCAGTTCTTCTTGTCTGAGTCACGGAAAATTCTGTGATTTCTTGTTTTGGGTCACCTGGATGTTACTACGATGGTTATGGAAATATTAATGATTATTTCTGAGAAGGCCTCTTGGTGGTTCTTTGATATTGTTTGAGGACTTTTTTCCTGTTATGACTGATATATTTAAACTTGAATACTTGGTAATTTATCTGTAGATGGGACAAGAGGAGATCAGTGCTAGTGGAACTTCCTATCTGAATAGAACTGAAGCTGCAAATGTGGAGAAGATTGTGACTACATTTCTGAAGAGTGGGGTAGTCCCCAGTCAGGTACATCCTTATTTGCATCCTTAATGTTGAACACCTTCATTTGGTGGTAAGAATGCAATTATTATATATTCACAGATTGGGGTCATAACACCATATGAGGGTCAACGGGCATATATTGTGAATTATATGGCAAGAAATGGTTCCCTAAGACAACAACTCTACAAGGAAATCGAGGTAAGCAGTTAATACATTGGCATTACAGTTTCCTTGGATTATTAGTACTTATTTTGAGTATTTGCTTATGTTCAGGTTGCAAGTGTAGATTCATTTCAAGGGAGGGAGAAGGATTATATTATTTTGTCGTGTGTCAGGAGTAATGAACATCAGGTTGGCTTTATCCATTGATTTTCTCTTGTTTGATGCTCAATTGTTTAGTTTTAAATATTTAGATTTGTTATGTTGTGTTGTCAATTTTTGTATCCTCTGAACCACAACGCCTTCCCTCTTTTCCCTCCTCTGGGGTCTTTGTTTGCAAAAGTTCCATTTCCTTTTTATCTCGGAGTTCAGGAGGTAGGAAACATTTTGTTAGCGTTGATATATGTTTTTATGAGTACTTGCTTGCTTAATATATTTAGTCAAGGTGGATCTGCATCTCTCTTGTGCATGTGCTTTAATCTATTCCACCATGTCCCATCTGTTCACGATTAAACCAAAAGTTTTGACTTTTTTTAATTCCTCTTTTCTTTTAGGGCATTGGGTTCCTTAATGATCCACGCAGGCTTAATGTTGCTCTTACCCGTGCTCGTTATGGTATTGTTATCCTGGGAAATCCTAAAGTCTTGAGCAAACAGCCTCTGTGGAATGGTTTGTTAACACACTACAAGGTAATATCTTCAAAATGTTCTCCTTTGGTAATACTACTTCAGCATTATGTCATGTTTTCTCTGCTCTTCGAAGTAGTCACCTGGCAAGTTTGACCTAACATTAGATGGTTAGTCTTTTGGGCTAAATATATCTTGTTGTTATTATTTGCATACTTGGGGACGTATGAAGTGTAGATGTCAGTAGGTGTTTGATGCTTTTGAGGTTCATACTTCAATGCATTTTTCTTGCAGGAGCACGAGTGCTTGGTAGAAGGTCCTCTCAATAACTTAAAGCAGAGCATGGTTCAATTTCAGAAGCCCAAAAAGGTACTGATGGTGGTTAAATACTCTACCAAAGTTACATGTCTGCTCGTGCATGATTATGCATCAGTATTGAGGTGTCTTTTTGTGTCATGGGTTTGCAGATCTACAATGAGCGCAGACTCTTCTTTGGTGGTGGACCTGGAGCAGTTCCAGGTGACAGTTTTGGATCTGCTTTAGGCTCCAGTGCTGACAGGAGAAATAGTCGTCCTAGGGGTATGGTGAACTTGAACTTCCCCCAACTGGCTGTGAATTGTTTGTTTGAATGTTGTATGGCACATAGGATTCCTGCGTTGGAATATGTTTCTGTTTCATCTGATTATTTGTCAGGAACCCTGCTTTTGCTGTTCTTCGTATTGTAGAGTTCTTCTCAAAATGGTTTTGGAGAAACTAGGAAGAAGCAAAGAAGCATTTTTATTATTATTAGAATCTCAAGTATATTTATATATGTATTTGTCTGCTTTCCTAAGGATATTTTTAATAATTTTTGGTAGGTTCTTATATGGCACCTGGTGTACCCAATGGTACTCAGAAACCCGGTGTTCATCCTATTGGTTATCCGATGCCTCGGGTTCCCTTTCCCCCTTACCACGGAGGCCCTCCACAACCATATGCAATTCCTACTCGTGGTGCTGTCCATGGGCCTGTTGGAGCTGTTCCTCATGTTCCACAGCCAGGTAGCCGGGGTTTTGGGGCTGGACGTGGCAACGCCAATGCCCCAATTGGTAGTCATCTCCCTCACCATCAAGGCTCCCAGCAGCCGGTCGGAAGTATTGGATCTAACTTCAACTTTCCTGCATTAGATAATCCAAACAGTCAGCCTTCCATTGGAGGACCTTTATCTCAACCTGGATATGCTTCTAATGTCAGTAAATTTTCAGTTTGTTTATTTGATGAAATGGTAAGTGATTTGGTGTAAGCATTTTTTCTTTTTTGAATTATAGATGGCTATCCAGGGACCAGGCCAGTCATTCCGGGATGGACATTCTATGGGTAGCATGTCACAGGTGATTGATTCTGGACATCAAAATTGATATGTTAATTTGTTTTCTCTATCATATTTACCTTAAATTTTTTAATCAGGATTTTGTGGGAGATGATTTCAAGAGCCAGGGGTCTCATGTTCCATATAATGTTGCTGACTTCTCTACACAGGTGCCTGTCCTTTACACCTCTAGTAATTTGTTAATTGCGCCTGCCATCACTGCCTTAATTTATGCATAATATGTAGGATAACATTTCTTTTTTATATTAACTGGCCTTTGTTGTACTGGTATTTAGGCTTCTCAAGGCGCATATGCTGTTGATTATGTAACTCAAGGAGCACAGGCTGGGTTTCCAGGGAACTTTTTAAACCAAAATTCTCAGTCTGGATACTCCCGTTTTGGTTCAGGAAATGAATTCATGTCTCAGGTTAATTTAAATTCCACTTCTTTGGCCCCTCATCTCACTCTTTTAGACCTGGAGGATATGATTTTGAATATGAGAGTCTAGTCTCGAAGTAATGCAGTTCATCATACATGATGGGCTGATCTGTTGGCACTTCTGACTGGGTGGCTTGGTGGATGAGCTATGTGAAGTCGCCTATGATCTCTTTTCTCCTATCTTCCAGTTCGCTTTTGGTCCTCTGCTTATCGAACTTCTGATATCTGTGCAGGACTATATGTCTCATGGTTCGCAAGGTCTATTTACGCAAGCTGGATATAATGATCCATCACAAGATGATGGTTCACAGAATCATTTTGGCATGTCCAATGTTAATTCACTTCAGTCTCAGGTTAATTTATTATTTAATTCTGCCTGAGTTTTCTAAATTGTTCAATGTGATCAATATTTGAAATAAGCATCAGGCGAAGTCCACCAGATTGAGAAGGTGATTCTTCACCAGGATCAGTATTTTGGACGGCGAGTGGCGACAAAAGGCGACTAGGGCCTGCCTTGCCACGCGGCGAGGCGCTCGCCTTTTTGAAGCGAGGCGCCAATTAATACCAAAAATTAAAAATATTTAATTGCATATATAAATATTCAAAATCTCAATAGCAATAACATATATTGGCAAATATTTCAATTCAAAAACTGAAAGTAGATACTAAAAGTGTAGAACTTTAAAGACCCAATAATTCATAAGATAATACTAGAAATCTAAAAGGCTATTCTTCTTCAAAACTATCCAACTCTTGAAGATCAACATCCTCTACATCATTATATTGCTCCTCATCTTCTTCCTCATCATAGTCTTCATCAATTAGTGTACGAGTCCTACTTGAAGTTGAACTTGTTGATGTAGTTTCTACTCCTTTGCCCTTGTCAAGTGCTCCTGATCTTGAAGAAAGTCCCCTAAGATGATAGATACTCTCATCAACTCCAATTGCCGTAGCAACACTACCCCAAGTAAGATCATCATCCTCATATACTAGTTCATCTTCTTGATCTTCGGGGCATCCAACTAACCATTCATTTGAATCATCAATGTTATCCAAGCGAATTGGATCAATGAGATCACGAG